CACACACACACACACACACACACACACACACACACACACACACACACACACACACACACACGGCATGCAGAGCAAGGAGTCCAAGCCGTACAGAAATAAAGCTGATGGGGTCAGAGGGTAACCCCATTGGCCTGGTCAGCTTGTGGCCCAGACAGTGAGTACACAGTAATAGTGCTACTCTGATCGGCCACCAGGAGGCAGGGTTCCCCCTTAAGCGCAGCAGGGCACAGCCAGTTCACCTTATCCCCATGGTCAAAGCTGAGGCTGGGCCCTGGGCTCGATGCTGAGGCCCTCTCAGTGCTGCCACCTGCCTTCTCGTCAGGTGTGTCCGCCTGGGCCTGGGCCTTGGCTCCAGCTCCAGCTCCCCGTCGTCCCCTGCGCTTCCTGCGGGGGGCCTGTGTGCTAGCGGTGCCCCCCACAGCCTCACCAAGGTCCCAAAGTGACACCCGTGCATCATTGCCTCCTGTGGCCAGCCAATAGGGATGGGAAAGGAAGTTCAGGAAGTGAGCCTGAGATACGGCCAGGCTATGTGCGCGCAGGGCTCCCATCGACTCGGGTCGCGACCCAGCGCCCACCCGGAGAAGGTGCACACGCCCATCTTCCGCAGCACAGGCCACCACGTTCCCACAGCTTGCCACGGAGATGCAGTGCGCCAGTGGCGGGTTCAGAAGCTGGCCGGACGTGTGTGACAGCGCCCTGTCCTCCTCTGTGTCCTGCAGGTTAACTGTCCAAAGGGGGCGGGCCTTGTTCACGTTCCACAGCATCACCTGCGATTGGACCAACAGCTCTGTCAATCACAGCTCCCACCAATACAATCGCAAAGACAAATTCACCTGGTGTCTTGTACCATCATAAGCTGAAATACACAGAATGATTCGGTTTTCAAAAGCAACATAAGAAGCCTAGACACCAGCATGAAACTGCAAAACGTCATGATTCTGTTCTGCATGGAGCAGATGCCTCACCCTACAGTCTCACAGATTACTGTTACCCAATCACATTCCACACAAAAGCTCAGGGCACCATGCACAGTATCTGCCAAGTGGAGCTCTATGTTCCGACTGCATGACCCAGATTGTGTTCCTGTGGCAAAACGTCCAGTTCCTCTTTCATGATTCTGCAGACACCGACCAAAAGCATTCAGCAAACCCTTCAAAAATCAAAACCATTAGAGATCATCTAAGGAGAAAGGCCTCCCCACTGAGCTGTTAGTCACGTTACTCTTCCGTCATGTTGTAAAATCTTGCCACTGGCACCAGCTTTGAGGGTCTACCTGTGACAAGCTTCCAGACACCTGAACGCCAGCTGGTGAAGAAGGCTCCTCTCTGAACAGAATCAAACCTGTTTACAGGGCCAGAGATTACTGCCAAAAGCTTGTCATTAACAGACTTCAAGTACCTTCATGTACCTTCTGCGCAAAGCACCACGCTGAAGGACATTTAATCACCAGCTCCTTCCAGCCCCAGTGCTCTAGGCAGCTCTACTGCTCGAGTGTAAATTTAGTCTTTATTTTTTGCGGCCAGCGCAAAAAATAGTGACATAATGTACCATGAGCATAGTGACATAATGTACCATGAGCATAGTGACATAATGTACCATGAGCATAGTGACATAATGTACCATAAGCATAGTGACATAATGTACCATGCACATTGATTCTGTATGGGATTAATTGGTAACCAATGTCTCACCTGCATGTCGAGGCCCGCAGACACCAGGCTGTCCGGCCGGTTGGGCCTGAAGGCCAGCGATGAGCAGATGTTGGTGTGCCGACGCAGTGTCCGACTGATCTGGTGCTCCGCCAGATCCACCACGCACACCGAGCCGGAGTCGTCGGCCGCCGCCAGCAGAGCGCCTGTGTCGTTCAGCGACAGGGCGTTGATCTCGTCCTCCCCCACGCGCAGCTCGCACACTGGAGCTTTAAGGTCCCGCGGGTCCAGCGTGCTGACGGTGCCGCCGTGGGACGCGTATAAGGCGCCCGGCGACGCGGACGAGAACACCAAGCAGGTCACGTCGTCCTGTCCCTGCAAGCGGACTGTGCTCAGCCGTCCTCCTTCCTGCGACCAGATCGTCACCTCGCCGCCTTCACCTCCGGAAGCCAGGAGTCCATCAGGTCCCCCCGCGGCACCCACACAGAGCACAGTTCCAGAGTGACCCCCAGTCCACTGTCTCGCCATGCTGATCATCACCAGCGCCACCCCGACCCAAAAGAAACGCAGGATTAGGGTTACGATATTGAAACTCGGATTACCAGGCGTTCGAACATTACAGTACAAGGTTGCCAACTCTTATGCATCTGGAGTGACACTCATGCTCATGCAAGAAATCTTTTGCCAAATCTATTATTCCATTACAAACCTAAAATTAGCTATAAAAGTTTCATTCCAGCCAGCTGACCAAAGGCAACCTGATACTAATAACTGCACTGTATTATCGTGTTTAGAGGTGTCACCCCCTGTATTCAGTAGTTGTATAATTTTTTAGGTCAGAAAATTTAATCTTCAAGTATTGGAAAATACGTGCAATTACCTGAGTTATTGTTATTGGCCAGTTAAGTTAGCACACAAACACAATACACAATGCATTTTGCCGAAACACAATAGGAATTAGTACAAGTTGTCAAAAACGATATTCATCCACCCATCCATCATTTAACTGCTTTTCCAGTACAAAATTATATATGGCAAACAGAATCATTAAGTAATACACAAGCTTACTCCACACATCATGCTTCAGGATAACAAGGTAGTTTTATGGCAGCCATCCAACAAAACATCAAGAATCAGTTTACGACAGTTATTAAAACGTAACCTACTTAGCTAAACGAATACCTACATACAGTTTTGATCCAGATAAGGAGTCTTGAATTATTTACTTACAGCATTTTAGTTACCATAGCTGCCTAAGTTTTTTAATGGAGTGGCGCGATAAACTCTCTGGTAAAACACACAGACATACATACAGGCACAACTTAGATTTATACAGCATGATATGCATAAAATAATATAGAATATAAAATATCAAACAGCAGACGTTAACTTACCGTATAACACGTGGGAACCGTAACCGAGACAAGCCAGCAGCGCGCTGTTGTGATGATGTCACATCATCGCGGCGATGTCGCGTTATTATGACGTTTAAATAACGCGACTACTTCGAGTCGAATTGTTCGTGTGGGTGGTCTCGCCGCCGGTTCGAAACGGTCGTTCTCAATATATTTAGCACTATTAAGCATGTTTCATGGACGGGATACTTAACTTACTTATAGAAAACTGCTTTAAAACCTTCCAAAGCACAGATCTCGACGGCTTGCACAGTCATAAAAGTGCAGGGATGATAATAGAGCAATAATAATAGAGTAATAATCAATAATCACATAGGTAAATTGACTTACTGACTTTATTAATTTGGTTTTGTAGAGCAGCAAAGGACAACACTCCAAACTGTAAAATGCAACACACAGTGCAAACCCACTTTTTGTAATATTTCCTACTGTGATGCGAAGCATTATATTGCTTATTTTAAACATTTCTACTTGAATTGTTAGTCAGCTTTGTGAGGACTAGATAGTCTTCCTCTGGTTCCTTTCCTGAATTTAAAGAAAAAGACTAACAGTGAACACATATTGGATCTTGTATCATGTATGATCTGGGACCAGCACATTGAACAAGATGACTTTAAATACAACAATGGTTCCTGTTGCAGAGCAGCTTTCCAGTATTTAGAGTGTGCTGATGTAGCTCAAGCTGAACACAGCTCCACCCCATTCTCTATACTCCCTCTGTCTCCCTCTCCACCCCCTAAGGCCCCCTAATTATTGGACACACAATGGCAGTTGATCCATCGGTCACTGTGCTTCTGATGAGTGTAGCTAATTCTGGGTCAATGCACATCCCACCCCCTCCCACCAAGTGGGCTGGCGAAGCCAATCAAGTCTCTGCAAACTGTGGATCTGCCCACGCAGGCTGCACACACGTGCACGGATATGAACACACACACTGCAGCCTCTGGAAATCCCCGAACAATCAACATCTGTAAGTAACATCTGAGTCTGTTCTGTGAATGTAGTGCTCCAAAGCTTTCATGGATAGTGTCCATCAGCCTGTTTGTACTCAACACTGTTGTGAATAATCCACCTCCGCATATTATCAGTACTGATCTACCGCTGTAGCAGTTTGTACATCTTTACCCCCAACTCATCCGTTGTCTTGCACTGCCTTGTCACAAATTGTGCTGCTCTTTGTCCTGTTGTCCCCCGTGCTCCTGTCCCCTACTCTGCATCTATGGCATAAAATTTCTTCCAAACACGTGACAATAAAATTTGAAACTTATTTGTCTGATTGTGGATGATGTCTGAGAGTTTCATAATACAGCATTTCGCGGACATTGCATGAGCCATGAATGACTTGCTCTGTCTGCCCTCTCTCTCTCTCTCCCGTGTTCCATAGACTGACTGGTGAGGAGGGTGATGGGATCCCCGAATTTTCCAGCACGCACTGTGCTGTTCCAGAAGGAGCCAAACGGGGTGACCTACAGGGTCCCGGCCCTGCTGTACCTGCCCAGCCCCCCCTGCCTCCTTGCCTTCTGTGAGCAGCGAGTGACCCCTGCGGACACCCAGGCAAAGCTTCTGGTCCTACGCAGGGGCACCTTCTATCCAAACGGCGTGGAGGTGCAGCAGACGAGGCTCGCTTTCCGACTGACAGTCACTCAGTATAACACCAGTGCAAGATAACAAGAGCAATTGTCCAAAATTCACTCTGTTCATTTTTTGTCATTTTTGAGATGAGACCATCAGTGCTCTGAAGTCAGGCTTCATTGTCAGATGTTACAGTACAGGGAACCAAAACTCAATACTCATGTAATCCAAAGGAGAACTTTCTTTAATTTCTGAAATTCACTTAAGCCCACAGAAAATTTCTTGAAAATGAGTTTTGGAAGCGAGTTTTGGAAATTCACTTTTGAATTGTTGTAATCAGTCATTGTCTTGATAAGTAGTGATGTCATTTTTATTTTCTTGCACGGTTAAATGCCCTTTTTTGTGCTTCCTTCATCCCAGTGGGAGGACATGACGGTCCTGGATTCAGCCCAGCTAGAAGGCTGCCGGTCAATGAACCCGTGTCCCGTCTACGATAGATTCACCGGCACTGTCTTCCTATTTTTCATTGCTGTGCTGGGCAATACGTCTGAGTCTTTGCAGTTGATCACGGGGAAAAACGTGACGCGCCTGTGTTGTGTATCCAGCCAGGACCGAGGGAAGACATGGAGCTCTGTTATGGATATGACCTTGGCTGTGATTGGAGACGCCATTAAGGGTACAGTGTACATGCACGTGTGTGCTATGCCTGCGCCATGTGTCATGCAGATTTGATATTACATGTTACTCATGCATTTTTCAGATCGCAAGGCCTGCAGTAGCTGGACCGAAACTGTTAATAAGTTACGCTAAGACATACCAATTTTAATCCTGGGTCCTTTTTAAGATTGTTAAAAAAAACGTTATAAAGTTTACCGCCGTTCCCTTTGCATGAGCTCTGCACGCACTTTCTGAGCCAATAATAATCATTCTCATCCCGTTGGACTCACTCATAGACAGTGTGGCGTGTTTGTGGGAAATTTAACAAAGATGAGGAGGACAAATCCTAACAGAAACTGGTCACTGAAAGACATTTGTCTTCTGCTGTATGGAAATGTTTTGGATTCCATAGAGATCATTTGTTGGTACAGCTTTATGTCTGTTGGCAGCGCAGTTCTGTTTAGCTGTAGTTCATTTTGGTTACATTTTCAACTCCTTTTTCGTTTTGTGATATTATAGTGTGATTTTTTTCCCACCTAGCCCTAGTGTGTACGTCTGTTTGACAATGTGTGCGTCTGTATTTATTCGTATCAGCATCTCTGAGACCATACTATGACCATATTTGGTTTCTCTTGACTGTAACTTTGAGAAGTTGTGTTGTTTTCTGTTGTGTTGTGATGATTGTCCACCGCTGCAGGTGTCATTCATCTGGATTTTCTGCCTTCTCATTTTTGGCAGATTGGGCCACCTTTGCTCTTGGCCCAGGACATGGGATCCAGCTGAGGTCGGGCCGCCTGCTGGTGCCCGCATACGCCTACCACATCGGCCGTCGCAGGCGCTTCGGACAGCCGTGTGAGACCACACCCCGCTCCTTCTGTCTCCACAGCGACACGCACGGTCGCAGCTGGTGCCGCGGGGAGGCTGTGCCGTCCCTGGAGAGTGTGGAGTGCCAGGTGGTGTCCGTGGACCAGCAGGATGGAGGAGATGTGCTCTACTGCAATGCACGGAGTCCGCTGGGGTTCCGGGTTCAAGCCCTCAGCCTGGACGGTGGCATTGTCTTCCGGGACAGCCAGCTGGTGCCGAAGCTCATAGAGCCTCCACATGGTTGCCATGGCAGTGTGGTGGGCTTCCCAGCACCTATCAGCCAGCCTGGGAAGTCCAAGGAAGCCTCCAGCTATGGTCAGAACCTCTTGACCCCCACCTGGGTGGTTTATTCTCACCCCACCTGGCCCAGTGGGCGGCAGGACTTGGGTGTGCACCTGAGCCCCTTCCCTCGTGACCCTGACAGCTGGTCTCCGCCCTGGGTTATATACCAGGGCCCCAGTGCCTACTCGGACCTGGCCTATCTGGAACCAGCCGCACCAGCGTCTCCATTGGCTGGGGCGTTCGCCTGTGTCTTTGAGAGCGGCTCACTGACGCCTTACGACCAGATATCATTCTGCGTCTTTACCCTGCACGAGCTCTTCAACAACATCCCTGAGCACAAGCCGGCACAGAGCCGTAACAGCAGGCTTTGTGGACTCTGCATCATCTCCTAGTGGTCATCTATGGAATGGCAGTGAGAAAAAACCCCGTCTCCGTTCCTCTAGCAACCTTTCTTTTAACCATTTTACAAACAAATAAAAGGCAGGTCCTTGAGCAAGACCCTTGACCCTTGACCCCCAGCTCCCTGGGCACCGCTACAGGTGGCTGCCCTTCACAGACTACTCTACAAAGAGCAAGTTTAAGGCAGCATAAAGACTATTTCCCCACAGAGATCAATAAAGTATGAATTATTATTATATTTCTGCAGCTATGTATTTCTTTACACACTCATGGAAGATGGGTAGCAGTAGGGTTGGGGAACAGATTCCCACTCCTGTGTGGAGTTTGTTTTCCCCAAGCTCTCCTTGTGTCTGCTTTCTTCCTCTAAATCACGTGTTTACTGGACTGGCCGAAGACATAAGCGAATGAAGTGGCTGCCTAGGGTCCAGCGGCCACCAGGGGGCGCCCCCATTTGTTCAGAATGGGAAGAAAGGTGATGGCCAGCAACCAGGTTAATCGAATATTGCTCAGGCCCCCAAATAAGGGTTGAGCTGGCCCTGCATGTTTTCTCAGAGTGTTTCTTGCCATGAGAATGCTTCTTCCTTATATTAAGGTGAGAATGAGGTCCATGCACACAAACCGTGACAGAAACAAAGCCTGGCCAGAGGAGAGTATCTTCTCTGCCTGGCATGACTCTACCGGGATTTGGACACTCAGGGCATAGTCTGTCACCATCCAGATCTTCTAAGCATGGGCAGTAGGTGACAAGGTGGTTAGGGAAGGCTGGACTTGGGAGGTATGATAAGCAGGAAATAACAGCAGTTCATTATATTGCAAAGAGCAGATGCACCTCACTGTGAACAATTACAGGTTCACGCCTTGTGTTGCAAAGAGCATCTGTCGGTGTGCACTCAATGTATAGGAGACCTGCAGTGTGCAGACATCTTCTAGGCTAATATTTATTTTGAATAAAATATTGTAATACCCACGAGCTACATGTACAGAGAAACATGTAGCCTTTTCCCACTGTGTAAGGTGGCTAATCAGCTTTAAATCTCTTTTTCAGTTTAGGGATTTTATTTTGTGCTGCTGACATGCACCATTGCAGCATTTGTTCTCTCCCATCTGTTTTCACCCGTAGTACAGCATTCGGTCCCAGCTTGGTCAGGTGATCCCAACACCAACGTGTACAGTTGGCCGTCCATATCTATGGGTTCTGCATCTGCAGATTCAACCAACCACGCACTGCAAATACTAAAAAAAAATAAAATACACACAGCTCCAAAAAGCAAAACTAAAATTTACCACAAGCTGAGTACAACGCTGAATCTACACAAAGTGTGGGCATGACTGCTGAAAGGGAATAAATTAATTTATATTTTCTCAAATTTATAATTACATTTTCTATTTGAACTTGTATTTTAAATATTCTGTTTTGTTTGATGTATTTCTCTTTCAGGTCATTCAATGAAAGCAATGTATCAGTGTTAGTGTTGACAGAAAGACAGTGTTACGTTGTTACAGACCTGTACTGTGTAGTTAGGTCTACGAAGTTTGCGTCTGTATTGAACATGTACAGCCTTTTTTTTTTCTTGTCATTCAACTATTTATATGGCATTTACATTGTATAGGGTATTATAAGTAATCTAGAGATGATTTCCAGTATGCAGGAGGATGGATGTGGGTTACATGCAAATATGACACAGTTTTATAAATGGAACGTCAGCAGCCGCGGAGCTGGATATCTGCGGGGGGTCCAGTAACCAAGCCCCAGAGGATGTGGAGAGCCGATTGCACTGCCTAGCAGAAAAGAAGCCCATACCATTACTCTCAGCTCAGGAAAGGCATCCACAACAGCCGTGTTAATACGAGATTCACCGAGTGTTTCAATAACTTAATTCAGTACTGTTCATTTTCTAATCGTTTAGCGATGTCCGTAATTTAATTAATTCAACTTTGGCAACAGTATTATCAACAGTGTTAACTTCAGCTGTAACAAGTTCTTTAATTTATTTCTCAGAGGATAACAAAAAGTAAAATGAAATATGTTCACATTTACACTGGTTAAATACGGCTGTGTTTGGCTACAGATGTGGTGCTTCGTTTGGTTTGTCTGCTGTTTAGCTCCATTCAGGATTTAATGTTATTATGTAAGTATGTTTATCCAGTGACCTGTTTATCCAGTGTAGGGTCACAGTGAACTTGCGGGATGTACGAATGCACACGTCACGAGGAAACTCCAGTGTAATCCTGTGTTAAAAGGTTTTGACAAGGTAAATACACAAGGTACAGTCACGCCGAATAAAGCACATATAAACAAAGTTGTCATTTTTGGTGATAATGTTGCTGTGTGGAGATATTAAGTCATTTTCTGTAGTTGTGCCATCACATTCAAACATATACTGTGCCTAATATTGAGTGCAAATTTATTATTTATAATTATTCCATTACTATATGTATCTATCTAGGTGCAGAAATGGAACAAACAGCAGTCTGAAGCAGACAGATGCATACCGGTGTGCTTTCTGAAAATGTATCTTCACGGCAAGTCAGAGGTCAGGCTGTCCCACGTACTACTGTAGTCCCAGTTTCCGACAGTCTCTAAGCGTACTCTGTCTGTCTGGAGTGTTGTCATTGGCTGACGGTGATGCATGTCCCACCCCTTCCTGCCTCCTTCCACAATTCAAGAAGTCTCTGAGTCACCGAGGTACTCTCCTCTCATCCTCCCTGCTCATTGGACCGCTGGGGCGTACTCCCGGAAGCGGCGCACCTGCGTCCTGCTGATGGAGCTGGATCTGTCGAAATTATCCTCGCGGTCGAAACACAACTTCCTGCGCAGCTTGCGTGTGAAGGACCTGCACATGAGGAAGTAGATGATAGGGTCCAGGCAGACGTTGCATGCGGACAGGAAGAGTGTGGTCTTCTTCCCATATTTCAGCACCAGCTCCACCTCTTGGCTGAAGGCCGGCTTCACCTGGCTCAGCGTGAAGGGGATACGCCACAAGTGATAGGGCACAAAACACACAAAGAACACCACCAAGACCATGGTGATGTTCTGGCCGGGCCGGAAGTCCCGGCTGCTGACCGAGCTGTCGAACTGAGCGTTAGAGCGGTGGATGTGCCTGTAGATGGACAAGTAGCTGGTCATCAGCATGACCAGCACGGCAGTGAAGATGGCGATGTTGATGTAGGACACGGCGGCGTGCCAGTGCAGGCCCAGCTCGCTCTTCAGTTCCATGCAGCAGAGGGCGGTGCTGGGGTTGGGTGACACATTGGTGAGGATAGAGTTGGGCAGCGAGACGGCGGCCAAGAAGAGCCACACGCCCGCCGACAGCAGCTGCGTGAAGCCGTAGCTGTAGAGACAGGAGCTGCCGAATGGCAGTACGATCTTCAGGTAGCGGTCCAAGCTGACCAGGCCCAGGAAGAGGATGCTGGCGTACATGCACGTGTAGAAGAGCACGGCCGAGTAGCGGCAGTTCAGCACCGGGAGCCACCAGGGACCGACACGCGCCTCGCTCAGGATGTGCAGCGGGAAGGTGAGCGTCATCAGCAGGTCAGCCACCACGATGTTCTTCAGGTACAGCGTGAAGCTGCTGCGGTTCGCTATCTGGCAGAAGATCCAGAGAGCCAGGCAGTTCAGCAGCAGACCGCCAATGAATATCAGCAGATAGAGGGCAGGGAAGAGGATGTCGGGGCTCCCGGAGGACGAGCCGTTCTTCGCACAGCCGGGCGCTGATGCGTTGGAGGACATGTCTACAGCATAAACAGCACAACGACCAGTCAGGCAACTCTCTGGGGCTAAACGCCTCTTTGAAATGCAGTCCAGGTCTAACAGCTGTTATAATACTGACGGGAAAAAAAGACCAAACACAAACAATGAAAGTCGCTGCTGTTGTGACCTGGAGCCTTCTGAAGCTGCACAGGTGTTTGTGGGTGGTACAGTACCCATCGCTCCCCATTCCGCAGGAAGGGCATCACCTGCCCGCTGCATTTTAATACACCCTAAAATACCGTCCCCTGTGTCTCCAAAAAAGGAACTGTTTGGACCTCGGCAGATGTGCAGATAATCTCTGTTTACAAAGATCACTTTCTGTTTTTGCAACAAATTCCAGTCCAGGGTGGACTTTGAAAAATTGGCTTACTGGCTTGTCTGAAATTTTTTTGGGAAAAACGGTGCCTCATCCACACACAGTGACTCACTGAACAGTCCCAGTGTGACAGTGGGTACTGGACTGCAGTGACAAAACCATTAATCTCAGATTATATTGCGGATCAACGGCAGGTTTTGTAAATGAAATGGCAACAGGCTGCAGCACCCTTGGTCAGCGTTTCGGCAACCCGGCCATTGGGGACCTGCAGACAGTCCATGTCTTTCGCTACCAGGAGCTGGGAAGGAGCAGAAATGTGAACTTTCTGGCAGGGAGCCGGGAGGGAGCGATAACATGGACCGTCTGAGGGTCCCCAAGGACCGGATTGGGAAACAGTGCCTTAGAATATGAAAATCACTTGAAATGTTTGTCTGTCAAGGTGGCCATGTCTTCCATTTTGCCGACATGGATGGAGGTGACCTGGGCCCTCAGACTTGAGACCCCTTTACTATAAGCAGTCCCCCACAGGCAGCGCCGTGTCTCTGATGACACACCACTGTGCGTTGACGCTCATTTTATCCACAGTCTGAGGTTCCATTGTTCTTAATTGTTATTTGCTTTTGTCCTTCACTGGGGATTGTCAGCCTGCCTTTACACAGATAAACGTGTCCTTGCTGGGATTCATCAGTGTCCGTGGCAAAACTACGTTGGCTACATTTCTAATTCCTAGGTTTGTGGTAAAAACTGCATTTTGAGCAAAATGACCACAAGAATTCACTATGGTGTCGATGCCTGTCCTTCACTGTGCAAAATAAACCAGCAGAACCTAGTGGTTCCGACGTGCTGAGCCGGTACACTTTCTCTGCTCGGAACGTAAGCGTCTGATCTCGCTTCTTCCGGAGCACCTTGCAGGAATGGCTGCTTCCTGCTGCTCATGAACGTTCCGTGCGTTTGGCCTGTCAGCTCTTATCAGAGGCCAATGTTTAACTGAGGGAGTGGATGTGCAATAAAGGAATAAGCGAATATTAAACACCTCGCACTTTCCTGTCTGCAGAAAACAAGTCGACTTGAAGGTAAACTCAGGTTCTCGTCTCCATTATACTCTGAGAATGTCGAAACCCACTTAAATCTTGTAGCAATTCTCTTACGGGAGAAGAGAAGTTCCGTAACAGGCCTCGGGCGGCAGGTGTGACTCACGTTTAATTGGCTGGAATTTTTCGTATGTGCGATGAATGCCTTAGGTCCTGTCATGCTGCCTGTTCCAGTTCAGAAAAGAGGTTTTTACACATTTGCCAGCGGTATGATAGACATGAGGGTAATGAGGACACTCCAACCTGTTTCCGATGCCTACATGCCGCCCTGTTGACGGTGTTGGTCCTGGTAAAACCAATTCACCGCTTTCACAGACACGCTTCCCGAAGTACCAACCTCCTGATGCTGATTGTCAACAACTGATTTCCAACTTACACCTTTTGTGATAGACTCCAAATTATGACTCCTCACCACTGTAAACACAGCACAACACTCCCACTACGAATTCATAATGTATGGTCTTATCGCTGTTTTTGTTAGTGTAGCAAATTATATGGTCATCTTTTACGACGTGTGTATGAAGGTATGAGTCTCTCACCTAATCCCTGCCGCTATCCTCCAGCTGCACTCATCCCCTCAGCCGCGTTCCTCTGTGTCAGTCGTCAGGGCCCGTATCAGCTTCCAGACAACAGTGCCGTCCCTCTTGGGGCTGTCCTGTAGATTCCTGGACCCAAATAAGGCTTTGAGGGTGTTTTCTTCCACTGAGAATTCCAGCAGCACGCCCATTTTCCAAGTTAATTTCTTGGAATGAGGGTGGGAACTAATTAGCTGTAGTGACCTGTCAGACGTGTGTGGGCAGGTAAACACAGATTAGCGGTTAGGTGCTCTGGGCTAAAGCCAACCAAGTCTGTTTCTGATTGGTTGAAAGCTTGGGGAATCCCGCCTCTCCTGGCACGTTAGCCAAGAAAGTAGACAGTCAAAAAGCAACACTTAATGCCAAGCTTCCAATGAATTTACTCTGCTTATAAAAAAACAGAAGAGGCAGCAACTGGCAGTCTGAATTCACTTCCTTTGTTCTGTCCATGTTTTCTCTTATTACTTTAGGATCCTTTCACTTGATCAACATCTCTCCTCACGCATTCCTTCACTGGGGCCACACTTTTGTGCTTGTGGCTGTATCACTTCATCATACAACAGAGAAAGGTCTCTAGGTAATGTATTCTGTAGGATTGCCAAATCTCATGCATCTACCGTGACACGCTTTGTTACTGTCACGCTAACGCAAGAAACCTTACGGCAATTCTATATTATTATAAATCTAAAATGATCTACATCAAAAGCATTGGGGTAGTTTGCAAAGCATACAGACTATTTACAAGGTAATAAAACTGTTACGTCCATTTAAGGGCATGTACATGTGTGCAGACTTGAAATCTCATGCCAGCCAGCTGACCAAAGTTGGCAATCCTGATTTTGCTCTAGCTCTGTGCTAACATGCAATCCACAGTGGCTCTGTACTAACATGCAATCCACAGTGGCTCTGCGCTAATATG